CCCTGTAGATATAATTGACGTCAAGTAATTTTCAAGCTTTTATTAGCAAGCTAATAATCTCGTTTCCCGGCTTTTTCATTAATTTACGGAATGTCGTCTGCTAACCCTGAATTCCCTTCCGACATAATTCATCCGCTTCTTTCCAGCCTGAGGCATCAAAAGTTTGTAATCATTCACTCTTTTTCTCGGTCGTCTGAAACAAAAATTGTATGCAAACCTTGAAACCTAATTGTCTAAAGAAAATGTCTATATATATATATATATATATATATATATATATATATATATATATATATATATATATATATATATATATATATATAGTTGTATATTTAGGCAGCAATCCTTCCTTTATGCATGTTTCATTAAAACGACAGACAAGGTACTACGGTTGAGCTTTTTATTTAATTTTTCTTGTGTTCTAACAAGAGCTTTCTTTTCTGGACAAAGGGTGTGTAAGAACTGTCCAAATGTTTTGTATTACCGAGCGCTTTCGGCTATACCTTTAGCTATTATCAAGGATGATTCCATTATCAGCTTAGTAGAGTGTGTGCATTCTGTGTATGTTCAATGTGTGGTAGTGATGTTTTTAATTTACGAATACGGTTAGCACATTATGGCTTTGTTCATAGTTAATATTGTTAAGAGTTGGCTTTTTCTTTTTTATTATTAGAGCTTCCATTATTTTTAGTGCATCCACTTGCAAAAAAAGACTGTTTCACTGTATCTCAGCTCCTCAGCGCGACTAGACATATATAGCAGAGTATTTTATTTCCCCCTCCCTGGGTTGATTCAATATACACATTTCGCAAAAGTGACATAAATTCGGAGAATATTTTCCTGTCATGCTAATTCTGTATTTGATTAACAGTTCAGTTTTTTACATTCGTATAAACCTAAACTAATTTCCCATCTTTTTTTCCGGCATTTCCCGAGCGCACATATATATATATATATATATATATATATATATATATATATATATATATATATATATATATGACCTCTAAACAGGAGCGAAGCATAAAATTAATTAAAAATAACAACAAAAAACGAGATAAAAGGAAATTGCGTTTTTCTTTAGACAATTAGGCTTCTAGGTTTGCATACAATTTTTGTTTCAGACGACCGAGAAAAAGAGTGAATGATTACAAACTTTTGATGCCTCAGGCTGGAAAAAAGCCGCTGAATTATGTCGGAAGGGAATTCAGGGTTAGCAGACGACATTCCGTAAATTTATGAAAAGGCCGGGAAACGAGATTATTCGCTTGCAAATAAAAGCTTGAAAATTACTTGACGTCAATTATATCTACAGGGTGTCCCAAAAATATGCCACACCTTTTAAATGTAAATATATTGGATTATAAATAAATGACATATGTTTTGGTTTGGTTTGTTTGTATAACGGCATTATCAACTCCTAATGTGTCATTTAATACCGAAATTTAATTTTCTTGGGTGTTTTTGTACATTTTTTTTATTATTAAAACCTACATCTTTGTGCAAATTAATTGAAACAAAGTGAATAATTCCGTTATTATTTACTTTTTTCATATTTTTCCAATGAAATATGACCCAGTGCGCATGTTAGTACTTCATATTTACACATACGACACAATATATATTAACAAACAGTATTTAGAAAAATATGACAAGCTGGAAAAGTTTTTGTGACGCTTTTCATACGTTGGGATTTCATCGGACTGGGCTTTGTTGACGTTGCCACGTCTACACATGCGCACGAAACGAGAGACGCTGGCAATTTCAACATTTTTTAAAGAATATTTTTTCAAAGAATCTTTTATTTTCTTCAATCGAGCCAAATTCGTCTGTATTAATTTTTCTTTTTCTCTCCATTACTATCGCACAGTGTGTCAAGACAAAATCTACCAATAAATGGAATGCTACTTTGATTAAAAGAGAAAATAATCCACTGAGACGAAAATGTCTGGAAAGTGCCCTGATCACTAATTTGGATACGATAGATTTGCGCCCAGGCTCTTACAATATATCACCATTCTTGGTACAGTTTATATTGTCACAGTGTACGATAGTCATGAAGAGGATGATGATGGAGAGAAAAAGTGAGAGATATTTTCTTGAAGCGGTGTTATAGTGGAACACACCTATTCTATAGTTAATAGACTCTCCCACCTATAATAAGTAGGAGTAGTAGCAGTCGCTGAGTGGGTCAGTCAGTCAGTCGACTGGCTGATTGGTTGAACTCTCTGCCTTCGGGCGGGGAGGAACCCGAACGAGGCTACGCCGAAGGGCGGATTCTCTTTCGGGGAGGTAAACCGACCCTGAACCCGTTTATACGGGTTCAATGGGCATATTTTTGGCCGAGCCCACGAGCTCGGAGATCCCACGTTAAAAAGGCCTTGTGCCACATGATGCCCTCGTGGAGGGGTGACTGAATATCGTCGATCAGTCAGTCAGTCGATGCCGGACGACAGTTAGTCGAATACTAAAGTATCAGCGACCGCAACTAGATTTCTCTGCGTCATTACCTATTATATCAAGTTCCTAACGTTTTGTACGTCGAACCTATTTTAGGACCGACTTAGTACAAATAGAAGCCTCCACTGTGAAACCACTACATAACAACTTGGCGACGAGGATGAGATAAGTTGTTCACCATATCAAATATTATAATCTTTATGAACCCCCAAAATAACACTTTCAAAGTAAAGCAAAATAACAGCGTCTGTTTCTAGCCTTTTTTATTTTTTACAGAGAAATTTAGTGACATCTTCTCTCTTAAATTCCTTCTCTCTTTTTCTCTCTATGAGTGTTTTTCTTCTCTACCCTTTCGATTTCAATATATAACTTCCGTTAAGTTAACCGTTTAAATGTGTCAATATCTGCTAACTCACTCATGTCTTTTCACTCTCCCCCCGCCTCACTTCCTCACTTCGTTAATTTACATATGTTTAATACGGCCCGTCAAAAATGTGCAAATTTTCTTTTCATTTTTTGTTTGGAAGTAAAGTCTGATGATCCACAGTCCTTTTAAAAGGGCCGTGGTGAAATAATTTATTACATGGAACTTTAAAGTGGTCTGTTTTGATTTAAAGTATTTGCTCTGGATTTACATTGAGCTCTCTGGATTTTATCCTCCTTAGGTTTACCCATACGGATTACCTAGTTTTCATAAACAAAATATATATATATATATATATATATATATATATATATATATATATATATATATATATATATATATATATATATTGTTTTAATTGTTTTAATATATATATATATATATATATATATATATATATATATATATTTCGTTTTAATTGATTTAATATATATATATATATATATATTTTATATATATATTTTTTAATTTTTTATATATATATTTTTTAATATATATATATATATATATATATATATATATATATATATATATATATATATATTCGTTTTAAATGTTTTAATATATATATATTCGTTTTAATTGTTTAATTTGCTTTTAATGTGTTAGCTCTACCTCTGATATTGAGCGCTTTCTAATAAATACCGCGCATATAATATATAAATAATTATATATATATATATTTATATGCACACACTTTTCACACACACACACACACACACACACACACACACACACACACACACATACATACATACATATATATATATATATATATATATATATATATGATACCAGCTGAAAAAAGCATGGAGAGTCCGCCTACGAAACTCATGTTTTATAGTCAGTTGCCCATAGTTTAATTTATAACGTATATAAATGTAGGTAGAAGAAATGTTGATAAGATGCAAAGCAATGTTTATATATATATATATATATATATATATATATATATATATATATATATATATATATATATATACTATCTTTAAATATATATATATATATAGAAAAGAAATTCAAAATAACCTCATTTGAATAGCTATTTCAACGTTACAACAGCTTCCTTGTAGGCTTTGTCAACACCAAGGAATTAAGAACAAAGAAAAAAATATATATACATACCCGTGGAAATACATTTTAGGCCCAGGTACGTAACTCCTTTTTTAATGTCTAAATTTTTATTTTATTTTATTTTCATGCATGCGGTCCTATATAAGGTGTGTAGGTATAATACACACACACACACACATACATACATGCATACATACATTATATTTATATTTTTAATCATTTCACCCAAGGCAAGACAATAAATCCACTGGATGGCTTGGATGGGAGAATCTTTGATTATTTCCACGAAGTGGGTAGAGTTTCAGACATATGAGGGTGACTTTACTATTAATCAACAATTTATTTCTAATCACCTGAAGAAGGCCGAAGCATACGACTACCCAGACGTCGTAAATATGTCAATAAAGATGAGAACAACAGACCGAACGATGTTATAGTGTAAAAAATAGTTACAATACTTCATCTCAGAAATAGAGACAAATGCAATGTGTCTCAATACAAATTAGAGACCTGTCATAATAGATCATTCCATCTTAAATAAATCAATCATGTTTTGCGGTAATTTTTAACAACAACTTGAGATTTTTTTCTTGTTGAAAAGTTGAAGAATTTTAACACATTCGACATTATTTCAGTCTCTCTCTCTTTATTGCTATCTATATATTTCTTTCTTTCAATAACTCTCTTTCTTTCTTTCTTTCTTTATTTCTTTCTTGTTTTCTTTCTTTCCGATCCAGTCCCCTTTTTTTTTAATACTATCTATCCATTTCTTTCTTTCTTTCTTTCTTTCTTTCTTTCTTTCTTTTTTTTTTAACTTTCTTTCAATTTTTTCTTTCTTTCTTTTCTAACCAATCTTCTTTTTTTATTACTATCTATTTCTTTTTTCTTTTTTCTTTCTTTCTTTAACATTTTTCTTTTTTCTTTTTCTTTCTTTCTTTCTTTCTTTTTCTTTTTTCTTAACCATCCTTATTTCTATTTCTTTCTTTTCTTTTTCTTTTCTTTCTTTTCTTTCTTTCTTCTTAGTCAATCTTTTTCTTTATTAATGTCTTTTGTTTCTTTCTTTTTTTTTTCTTTCTTTTCTTTCTTTCTTTCTTTTCTTTCAATTCTTTCTTTTTATCTTTCTTTCTTTCTTTCTTTCTTTCTTTCTTTTCTTTCTTTCTTTTTTCTTTCTTTCTTTCTTTTCGTTTCTTTCTTTCTATACTATCTATTTTCTTTCTTTTTCTTTCTTTCTTTCTTTTCTTTCTTTCTCTTTTACACTTTCTTCCATTTCTTTTATCTTTTTTCTTTCTTTTTTCTTTCTTTCTTTCTTCTTTCTTTCTTCTTTCTTTCTTTCTTTCGTCAAAACTTCTTTCTCTATCCATTTCTTTATCTGTCTTTTCTTTCTAAAATTCTTTCTTTCTTTCTTTCTTTCTTTCTTAACCAGACACTTTTTCTTTCTTACTATTTCTGTCTTTCTTTCTTTTTACTTCCTTTCTTTCTAAAAACCTTCTTTCTAACTATAGCTGTCTTTATTTCTAAAAATCTCTTGATTTCTTTCTTTCTTTCTTTTTATAAATGCCTTTATTTCTATAACTGTCTTTCTTTATTTCTTTCTTTCTTTTTTTGTATAACAGTCTTTATTTCTACAATTCTCTTTCTATCTTTCTTTCTTTCTTTCTTTCTTTCTTTCTTCTTTCCGTTCTTTCTGGTTTGTCTTTTTTTTTTATTTTTTTGCTATCCAGTCCCCTTTTCTCTATTACTATCCATTTCTTTCTTTCTTTCTTTCTTTCTTTCTTTCTTTCTTTCTTTCTTTCTTAACCAATCCTTATTTCTTTAATACTATCTTTCTTTCTTTCTTTCTTTCTTTCCTTCCTTCGTAACCAATTCTTATTTTTTTAATGCTATCTCTTTCTTTCTTTTTTCTTTCTTTCTACAACCCTCTTTCTTTCTTTCTTTCTTAGCTAGTCTTTTTTCTTTATTGCAATTTCTTTCTTTCTTTTTACTGTCTTTCTTTCTATAACTGTCTTTCTTTCTATAACTCTCTTAATTCTCTAACTCTCTTTCTTTCTTTCTTTTTTCTTTCTTCCTATCTAGTCCCCTTTTCTTTATTACTATCTATCCATTTCTTTCTTTCTTTCTTTCTTAACCAATCCTTTTTACTATATTACTATCGATTTCTTTCTTTCTTTTTTTCTTTCTTTTTTCTTTCTATAACTCTCATTCTTTCTTTCTTTTTTTCTTTCGTTTTTCTGTTTTTTCTTTCTTAACTATCCACTTCCCTTTTCTTCACTATTATCTATACATTTCTTTCTTTCTTTCTTTCTTTCTTTCTTTCTTTCTTTCTTTCTTTCTTTCGTCTCCTCTTGATCTACTGGAAGATTGTTCACTGCCGACATCGCACCGGAGCATTTTCGAACGAGATTTTCTTATTTCCTATTAACTTGTTTAGTTTTTGGAAGGCATATTTGAGGCCCTCACCGAATCTATGATAAGGTACGCCATTCTACTAGATTTCAATTTCTGTACGGTAGTATTCATATAAAATGCACATTTTACTCTAACCTAATTATATACAATAACGAATCATATGCAATATAGGTGAATGATTACAATACCTGAGTTTGTGTGTCTTTGTATTAGAGACACGAGCTGTTTATTCCTGCTAGAAGGTCCAACTACAAGAACAATGGTAGACTCAAGTTGAGTCTAACCGAAGATGTAAAGAAAACAATCAAGATCGATATATATATATATATATATATATATATATATATATATAATAAAAAAAATGTAACCTCATATACATACTTAAACTTGATGTTAAAATAATCCTACATAATATAATGGATTCTAATACGTTTAACTGTTCTTAAAAAGAATATAGTAAAATAAAAATTAAAAAGGAGAATATTTCAAATCGTAGTTAAATAAAAAGTATTTGGAAAAAAAAAAAAAAACCGAAAATCTTTAAATTTAAAAAATTTTTTTACCGTTAACAATTTTTTTTTTTTTTTAAATTCAGACATCCATTCAACTGATGTCAGGTTTCATTGTAAAATACATCCTGCCCTTACCAAATTGTAGCTAATAACTGATACAATGATACTGACATAAGGAAAATCTAGACATCCCTAGTTCAATTTAAGTAGAATATTCTGTAACCATGGAAACGTGATTTTAGCTGTGTCTTTAAAACCCGGTAATTTTAAAAGTTACTCAAAATTCGCTTGAAGATGAAATGGAACTAATGCTTTTAATTTAATTGCAAATTAAATTCAGGGTTTTTAGCTTCTATTTTTTGAAACATGGTTGGAACTGTGTAGAAAAAAAACATATTTTAAATCAATTAATTTATAATATTAATACTCTGTAAATTTACATTGAGCACTATTTTGTAAAATAAAAATATCTATAAGAACACCGGATTTTATATCTTACTGTTCTTTTATTTATATATATATATATATATATATATATATATATATATATATATATATATATGTCAACGTAAAGGGTTTGTATATTGGTGAAAGTTCGTACGTACGTGTATGTGTGTTTCATGGCGTTTTCGCCTAAGTGGGCATAAGCGAGTTCAGGGGCAGTCAACCACCCCGAATGAGACTCTGCCCTTCGGCGGAGCCTCATCCGGGTTCCTCTCCTCCCGAAAGCAGAGAGTTGGACTGTTACTTGGCCAAAATTCGCCAGTAGAAAGTAGAAAAGAGATCGAGGCAAGATGTTGCCCAGTATTTATCGTGTAGGGAGAGCGACCTCTAGTGAACAATTAGGGAATTAAAGAGGAGCTAACTCCGAGAACCTCATCTCAGAAATATAGACAGATACAATGTAAGTAAATACAAATTAGAGACATGTCATAATATATCATTTCATCTTAAATAAATCAACAATGTTTTGGGCCAGTTTTTAATATCAACTTGAGATTTTTAAAAGTTGAATAATTTTAACAAATTCAATATTACGGATAAAAAAAATACAGAATTTTATATCGTGTTATTTCGGGACTTATCAGGAGCAAAACAAATTCTTGGACGAAAAAAAGACCCCAGGATGACGTCAAATTCCATGAAAATGTTTCATCCTTATAATAGTCAGTTGTGTTTTGTTTAATTTGTAACCTATATAAATGTAGCTAGAAAAAAGCCAATGTTTATAAGATAATGAGGGTCACAAAGCACTGCCCGGGACGATGAATCAGGTTTGTAAACCTGGAGAATAGGAGCTACTACACGCCGGCCCTGTGTGGATTTGCAAAGATAAAGAAAGGGGTTCTCCTTTAACAGCTGAGTAACAGAGAGCAGACCCTGTTTATTCCAATGGAGCATTTTCTACAAGAGAGGTAATTTACTAACAAAATTAGGATTTTTATAATTAAAGCTATCAATGCCTGACAGTATTTTTTTTAAATACTGTTAAATATATATATATATATATACACACACACACACACACATATATATATATATATATATATATATATATATATATATATATATATATATATATATATATATATATGAAAATTACTCTGATTTAACCAGTAGAGAAGACAATATTTATGAATAAAAATATTTTCGTATTTTGCTTTGATAAAGTCCACATTGAACGAAACACGTCAGCAATTACCAGTTTTCTTATTGTCATTTTTATTCACACACACACATATATATATATATATATATATATATATATATATATATATTTAGTTTATGCAAAACTAGGTAATCCGTATGGGTAGACCCAAGGAGGATGATATCGGAGAGCTCAATGTAAATTCAGAACAAATATGTTTGAATAAAAACAGACCACTTTAACGTTCCATGTAATAAATTATAAGTAAAGTCTGATGGTCCAGTGCCCTTTAAAAGGGCTGTGGTGAAATAATTTATTACATGGAACCTTAAAGTGGTTTGTTTTTATTTAATATATATATATATATGAAACAGGATCCAAATTTAGTTTTGTATTTAATATTTCAGTCTTTAAATAAAGCATATTTAAAATAAATTGCTAACAAAAGGAAAAAAAAAATTTAGTCAATATTTTATATTGATAAAGAAGTAATGATTAAAAGGCTATGGAAGTAAATACAGACAGAAATCCTGGAGTAGAGTCCTGAAGGCAGTTGGCAGGGCTGCTGCATGGCTCTCATCGGCCCTCACCTCATCTATGATATAGAGCCTCCCCTCCCCCCCACACACACACTCTACTACAATTTCTATAAGGTAGCGTGTATATAAAATACAAATTTTATTGTAACCTAATTATGTAGAATAATGGATCATATATAGGTGAACAATTTGACTAGAAAAATTGAAAATAAATACAAATTAGAGACATGTCATAATAGATCATTCCATCTTAAATAAATCAATGTTTTACCCAATCATGGCTCTCAACAACTTCCTGTCTTTTGCTGCTCAAAGTAACTCTTAGTCTTACCTCTTTTTGTTCTCTCATCCAGGCCCAGTGCAAGGGTCTTGTACCTGCCATCAAATTTATGATACGCTCCACCCCCACATTTTATTACATCTCAGTTTTCATAAGGTAGTATTCATATAAAATACAAATTTTATTGTAACCTAATTATGTAGAATAATGGATCATATGCAATTTAGGTGAACAATTCGACTAGAAAAATTGAAAATAAACACAATGTATCTAAATACAAATTAGAGACATGTCATAATAGATCATTCGATCTTAAAATAAATCAACAACGTTTTATATGGTCATGGCTCTCAACAACTTCCTGTCTTTTGCTGCTCAAAGTAACTCTTAGTGTTACCCCTTTATACTCTTTTTGTTCTACCATCCAGGCCCAGTGCAAGGGTCTCGTATCTGCCATCAAATCTAACATAAGGCCCCCCCCCCATTCTATTATATCTCAATTTTCATAAGGTAGTATTCATATAAAATACGAATTTTATTGTAACCTAATTATGTACAATAATGGGTCATATGCAGTATAGGTGAACAATTTGACTAGAAAAATTGAAAATAAACACAATGTATCTAAATACAAATTAGAGACATGTCATAATAAATATCATTCCATCTTAGGTAAATCAAAAATGTCTTGCGGCAATTTTTAATATCAACTTGTGATTTTTCTTATTAAAAAGCTCAATAATTTTAAAACCCATTCAACATTGTGGATGAAAATAGTGAATTTTATATAATGTGTCTTTTTTGTATGAGACTTAGCATGAGCAAAACTGATGTAATGAATATGCATACACCTGGGTTCCCCCTCACAGTAATATGATTGGCTGGTGTCAGCCATAAATACAGACTAATGTGGAGGTAAATGGACGACGCCTATTGCCTACCACTACGACGAGGACCAGACCATTATGGTTACCTGCTAGATTGTCCTACTTGGTTACAGTAGTCCAAAACCACATTGCTACTTCGAAGAAATATATCCCTTTCCGGGATATATCAAAAACAAATTCACAGATTTGGACAAAAAAAAAAAAATGACGTCAAAATTGATGAATAATTTTTATCCTTTCATAGTCATTTGCGTTTAGTTTAATTTGTAACGTATATAAATGTAGGTGGAAAAAAGTGAATGTTTATAAGATAGCGAGAGTCTCAAGTCACTGCCCGGGGACTGCAATCAGGTTGGCCCCCACCTCCCGTTGTGGGGGTCGATAGTCGTAGGCGCCGGCCCTTCGTATAAGTTTGCTAGAACCAAATAATTCTCTCGAGTTTGAAAAGCCGTTATACAATGCAATGTGTTTCTTTCGTAAACCATTTGTCGCTTATTTCCTCGATAGAAATTGCCTTAAGAAACGTTATCAAAGTTTGTTGTTGTTTTTTTTTTTTTAAGAATTAAGAAAGAAAAAAACAAACAACAAATCCTGACCTTAAAGTAACTTTCGAAATCCAAGCAAACAGGCGTTTCAAATAAACACTGTTTTTTTCTCTCCTTTTGTTTTCCTTTTCTTTTTTTTCTTTTTTCCTTTTTCTTTTTTGAAGGAAACCTCAAAATGCGACCAACCTCTTTCCATCTGCCAGCGCTTCTCACATCAGTACAAGCCTTAACATAGCATAGACGATTTATACCGAAGAACATTACTCCTAAAAAGGACGCTTTCACTCAACGAATCATGGCGGCCCCTAATGGAAAACTGTCTCCGGGGGGAAAAAAAAAAAAGAGATCGACAGCGACGTAGGTGGGTAAGGTGACGGGAAGGGCTGGCGGGAAGGGCTGACGGGAAGGACAGAGGGAAGACAAGGCGAGAAATACAAACAGAACGAGTGTAATAAGCAAGCCAGCAGCTTTAAAATAAACCGAAGTCAAGGCAAAACTGTAAGTAGATAAACGAATAAAGTGAAAAATGGCGGGAAAGTGGATGGCGGGAAAAGCGAAGAATGGTGGGCAAATGCTCTGCGTGTGTGCGTGGTTCGAAAATGTAACATTAAGTAAAAAAGAGAAAATAAGGAAATGATGTAATATATATATATATATATATATATATATATATATATATATATATATATATATATAAAACTCGTCCGACAAAAAAGTGCTTGATAAAATAAAGGAAACCAATAAATAAAAATATTCTAAAATAGTCTATAAACGACACAAATAAAATGGTGGCGAAATAGAGGGAAAAAGTTCGAAAGAAATAAACAGTAGAAAAGAATTGAATAGGGCAGCCGACAGAACGTTTTTTTTTTCTTCATTTAAATTGAGATAAATAAAATAAATCGTAAAGAAAATAACGAACGTCGAAATAAACGAATGAATAAAACAAAACAAAGGGATAAAAAAAATAATGAAGAAACTTAAAATAAAACAGAAAAAAAGAGACATATAAAAAAAGAACAAAAAAGAAAGAAAGAAAGAAAGTAGGAACGAAAAGACAGAAAGTGCGAAAATTTACGTAAGAAAGAAAGAAAGAAAGAAAGAAAGAAAGAATGAAAGACAGAAATAAAGAAAGAATAAGACTGAGATAGAAAGAAACAAAGAAAGAAAAAATGAAAGACAAAAATAAATAAATAAAGAAAGAAAGACATTGGGAATGAATAGAAAACAAAGAAAGAAAAAAGAAAGAATAAATGAACGAAAGAAAGAAAAAGACAGAAAACTACAGAAAGTGCGTAAATTTACGTAAGAGAGGAAGAGATTCAAATAAAGAAAGAAAGAAAGAAAGAGACTGAGAAAGAAAGAAAAAAGGAAGAATGAAAGAACATTTTAAAAGCTACGTGAGAAAGAAAAACAAAGAAGGGAAGAAGGAAAAAGAAAGTGACTACTAAAACACGAATGGAAGAATGAATGAATGAAAAAAAGGAAAAGTACCAAAAGTTACGTAATAGAAAAAGAAAGAAAGTATATTTTAAAAGAGCGAAAAGTTACGGAAGAATGGAAGAAGGAAAGAAAGAAAGAAAGAAAGAATATTTTAAAAGGGCGAAAAGTTACGTAAGAATGGAAGAAGGAAAGAAAGAGACTGAAAAATATAGAAATAAGAAAGAACAAAAGAATATTTTAAAACTTCGTAAAGCTGCATGAAAAAGAAAGAAGGAAAGAAGGAAGCAAAGAAATAAAGCAGGAAACTGCGTAAAAAAAAGAAAGAAAGCACATTTTAAAAGTGCAAAAAGCTACGCAAGAAAGAAAGAGACAAAGAAAGAAGGTATCAAACACACTGAGAAAGAAAAAGAAAGGAAGAAAATTGGAAACAAACACACTGAGAAAGAAAGGGAGAAAGAAAGAAAGAAAGAAACAAACAAACAAGGGGAGAGAGAGAGGAACAAACACACACAACCTGAAAGAAAGAAAGAAAGAAAGAAAGAAAGAAAGAAAGAAAGAAACAGTGAAAAAGAAAGAAAGAAACTGAGAATGAATGAAACACATTGAGAAAGAACGAAAGAAAGAAAAAAGAAACTAAGAAAGAAAGAAAGAAACTAAGAAAGAAAGAAACAAAGAAAGAAAAAAGAAAGAAAGAAAAAGAAAGAAAGACAGAAGGAACAAGACTGAGAAAGAAAGAACAAGACTGAGAAAGAAACAAGTACACACACTAAGAAAGAAAGAAAGAAAGAAAGAAAGAAAAAAGAAAGAAAGAGAGAGAGACGCTGAGAAAGAGAGAAAGAAAGAGCCACGCTGAGAAAGAAAGAGACACGCTGAGAAAGAAAGAACAAGACTGAGAAAGAAACAAATAAACACACTAAGAAAGAATGAAAGAAAGAGAGACACTAAGAAAGAAAGAAAGAAAGAAAGAAAGAAAGAAAGAAAGAAAGAAAGAGACACGCTGGGAAAGAAGAAAAGAAAGAAAGAACAAGACTGAGAAAGAATTAAACAAACACACAAAGAAAGAAAGAAAGAAAAAAAAAAAAACAAGATTGACAAATAAACAAATAAACACACTAAGAAAGAAAGAAAGAAAGAAAGAAAGAAAGAAAGAAAGAAAGAAACTGAAGTTTTGGTTGGGGTTTCCGAATTCTTGGGTACGCGCGTAAAGCCGTGGTGTGGTTAAACAGAGGGGTGGGGTTGCGACTCAAACAAATGCGCAGCAAACAGATTATGGTGACGTGGGCATAGAGGTGGCATTGGGTGGCGGTGGGGAGTGCAGAAAGAAGGCGTGGAGACAAGAAAACTATTTGCATTGTGAAGACTGTCTCCGTCTGTTCGTTTCGTATGGAGCCTCTGCCCTTCAGGGAGGCCATTTCGCCATTCGACGTGGTAGTCATAAACATCTCAGTAACGAGTCTTTTTCTCGGCGTAGTTGCTGGTGGCAAGTAAGGTGTGGATAGGAGAAAAGCAAAAAAAAAAAAAAAAAGGGAAAGCAAAACATCCTTTAGCTTAAAAAGTCTTTCGTTCTTTGTCCAAAGCGAATTTCTTTCTTTGAGCCGTTAGTTTTATTTCTACTATTTTCATAGTCTGTCTATATTTCTGAGATGAGGTATTATGTACAGTATTTACATTAGTCGGACTATTGTCCTCATCTTTGTCGCCATATTTGTCACAACGTTTCGGCCGTTGTACGCTCCGGCCTTCTTCAGGTGGTTGAGATCATAGACAGGGAACACCATTGGAAAATTCGTAAACTTAAGGAATCAGCACATATGCTAGGCCACAAAAATCTCCTGAGCCGACCAAGCATAGAAATAAATACAATATGGGAACCAGTAATAAGGAGTGCCAGAGAAAAGCAATGATAACAAAGTTGCAATATGAACTCTGGTAAAGACATGCAATGATAACAACAAAAAATTGCAATATGAGCACTGGTAAAAATGATGCTGAAAACATTAGGTTTATAATACTCAGAAGTTCATACCCAGATGTCCTCAAGGACACATGGCACTGTGGATAAAGGCGTTGGTTAGATCCAGTGACAGACCCAAAGAAGGTGAGTTCAATTCCTGGTTAAGGCAGTGGAGAAATTTCAGGCAGTGGAGAACTTTCAGAGGGAAAATTAGCAGGATATTACTGATAACTGACATCCATCAAACGTGGAACTAGAACAGTCTACCCCAGCGATCGAAATAAAGGTTTCAGTTCGAAATTCCAACCACCTGACGAAGACGTTGTGACAAATATTGCGACAAAGATGAGGACAATAGTCCGACTAACGTAAATACTGTACTGTTTTCATTTCTGCTATTATTAGGTTGGTGCAAAAATAATTTCGTTAGAAATCGAAATTATTTTTGCACCAACCTAATATTTCATGTTTATGGGCCTTTATTCTCCACCCTCCGAACTCTCTCCCACGGGCAGGATGTAGCGGGTCTCTCACTGCTCTATCGCTAACATCCATGTAAAGTGCTTGGACGAACAAGATTCCTTGGTTCCGTCAGTTCTTCACGACTATGACTCGCCATGCCTCTTACATTATATTAGGTTGGTGCAAAAATAATGACGTAATAATGTCGTTTTTTGACGTATTTTTTAACGTCAAAAAACGACATTTTTACGTCATTAATTTTGCACCAACCTAATATTAGGTCGGTGCAAAAATAATGACGTAATAATGTCGTTTTTTGACCTTAAAAACACGTCAAAAACGACATTATTACGTCATTACTTTTGCACCAACCTAATAGCAACCCAACCATATTCCATCAGTATTCCATCCGCGAGAAGTAAGCTGCACTCGACCAGCTTCTTTCCGCGAACTACAGCTTTGTGGAACCGACTCCTAAGAGGAGGTTTCCCGGATCACTACAATCTTAACCTAGTAAAATCTAGGTCAGGGGTGGCCAACGTTTTGATTCCATGCGCCAATATTTTTGTACGATTAATTTAAATGCGCCACACAAACATTCACTTCCTTTCAGTACGTGTTGTAATATGGACATATTTTAAAGTTATAATAAAATCTATTTATTTGAAAAATATATGCTTATGACCAGGGGCTTATCCAGGAGTTTTGGCCATCCTTGGTCTCGGGTTAACCGTTATCGTCTACACATATCTGCATCGACCAGCTACTTCCCGAGAACCACTGCTCTGTGAAACCGACTCTCAAGAAAACGTTTCCCCGATCACTACAATCATAAGCTGGTCAAGTCTAGGGTTAACCATTAACTTACCCACATATCTGCATCAAACGTCTGACAAAGCAAAAAACCTCCAGGAACAATCTGCTTTTTCTCCGATGAAAAGAATTTTTGTCAGGACCAGCTACCAAAACCGCCCCAAAAACTGATGGCTTGCCTACAATCCATATGACGTTCCTCGTCTTACGCAGGCCATGTTTCCTCCAAAGTGACGGCTTTTGGTTGTTTCTCCAACGAGGGAGATGTCATACCACCTCACATCTTTGAACAGGGTCTCAGGCTCAATTCGTTTGAGTTCCAGAACACCGTGCTCAAGCCTTGGTTGGCAAGGGTGGATGCTGGAAGAACATGCGTGTGGCAGCAACATTCAGCTCCCTGTCACACCTCCAGGAACAGTCAGAAGTCGTTGTCCGATCATTTTTACGACCTCATCAGTCACAACGTCTGCACCCCTGACTTGCTTTATTGTAATCCCATGGATTAAGTGTGGGGTGCAGTTGAGAAAGACACCAACCGCACTGGCTGTAACAGCAAGGCTCATCTGATCGACAGGATTAAGGAGGCATTTGAGGCAATTCCTAGAGACATCGTGAAGGCTGCATGTGCCAGATTCCGGGATTTGGATCAAGGCCATGGTTGATGCTGAGGGGAGCTTAATTGAATGAATTGTCTTTTAATTATTATAATCTGTTTGCCACTTTTCTATTTTTCCAATAAACTGATTTTTGGCTTAGATATTCACTTTGTTTTCCTTTTAAAAAAAGACAAAAACTGTCAAATTTAACCTGAACACCTTATATATAGTTAAGCTTAGCAAAATGAGCGCCATGTCAAAGTTCATGACTTTTTCTTCATCCGTTCTATTTTTGGAAGAAGAAGAATTTTACTAAATACTCATACATAGAATGGTAAAACTTGAGTAAATCAAATACTACTCAAATCCTTCTCTAATGTAGCTACTTGCCAGTAGAAGTTCCTTGTCACAGTAATAGGGAACAGCAGGAAGTACACCAAATCTGACTCTACAACAATGAGCAATAAGGGAGATGTTGTGCTTCCGCGTTTTCTTTTCTCGGAGCTTGAGGGTCAAGGTTGCTGACTATAAGGTGACATTAGAGAGGGTTGCGAAGTCTTGGATAGAGAGAGTGAGCAAAGGAAAGCCATACAGCCATCAACAAGATTCTATCATAAGGCAAAGACAACACGAGAATATACAAGTTATAATCTCCACAATCACATCACCTAAAACATATAGATTATTATATAGCTAGTTCCCCAGACCTGAATCTATTAGATGACCACTACATATGAAGTGTAGTTAAGATGGAAGTCAATCAAGACTTTCATAACACTATAAGACCTCTGAAATTCACCATAATTAGCACAATGTCCAAAATAAAGAAGATTGTTTGATCCAGACATGTCAATCCTTCAGAACTTGTATTGAAGCAGTCATTAATACTAATGAAGGATTCAAATTTTATCTTTATTTCTCATTACAGAATATAAAACATACAACAGTCACATATTTGGAAAGGTTTATTTTCTGTCCTATTTTTGGAAGAAGAAGAATTTTACTAAATACTCATACATAGAATGGAAAGATTTGAGTAAATCAAATCCTACTCAAATCCTACTCTAATGTGGCTACTTGCCATATTTATAAGTAGGAGCAGTTCATTTGTCACAGTAGTAGGGAAGAGCAGGATAGGACTCCTGACAAAGGAGCATTACCAAATTCCTACTCTACGACAATGAAATAGCACTCCCCCTTTTTAAATTTGTTTTGCAGACAAGCAAAAATGTTATATTCAAATATACAGTCACATGCAAATATATAGGATGTTCAGGCTATATGACAGAGTTTGCAACACCAAGCTCCAGCTGATCGACAGGATTAAGGAGGCGTTTGAAGCTCTCCCTCGGGGCATCGTGAAGGCAACATGTGCCTGATTCTGGTGTCAGATCAAGGCCATGGTTGATGCTGAGGGTAGCTTATTTGAATGAACTGTATTTTAATTATTATAACATGTTTGCCATTTTTCCAATAAATTCATTTTTGGCTTAGATATTTTTCCTTTTTAAAAAAAACTGTCAAATTTAGCCCAACCACCCTGTATATCAATGGAGAGATAGCATTCACCAGGTAATTGAGAACATTTTCTCATATTTAGAAAAATGAAGAGATTTGATAGAAAAAAGAATTTTCCACAAATAGAAAGATAGAAAAAAAAAATTTTCCAGTGAAAAATGAAACCAACTTAAATGACGAGGATGGCCTTGATTCAGTTTTGTGAAAAAATATGTACCCAGGCCAGATGGTTTTTATTCATGTGAACCATCATGTTTTTAATGGTGACTTTTAGCAAATAAATCTTCATCTTGTAACGCCGCAGACATACTTGGCCAAGGAATTCAAATCAAACGAGCTTGGCGGCCATGATGTGAGGTGGGGGCGTAGGTTGGCCACTCTTGGCAATATGGAACAAAGCAGATCTCTACTGGAACATGTACTACTAAAGCTGTGTAACACCCTTGACCACTGTTGATCTGGGTGGTTAACATTGACGCTGTGACCTTGCAGAGAGAAGTATTTTCTATTATTATTTTATTACTAAATTTAATCCATCTTATTATTGTTGTTTTTTATCCCAACATTCTATTATTATTTTATTACAAGTTTTATTTCATCTTATTATTGTTGCTTTTTTATCCCAACATTCTATTATTATTTTATTACTAGTTTTATTCCATCTTATTATTGTTGCTTTTTATCCCAACATTCTAATATTATTTTATTACTAGATTTATTCCATCTTATAATTGTTGCTTTTTATCCCAACATTCTATTATTATTTTATTACTAATTTTATTCCATCTTATTATTGTTGCTTTTTATCCCAACATTTTATTATTATTTTATTACTAGTTTTATTCCGTCTTATTATTGTTACTTTTTATCCCAACATTCTATTATTATTATTTTATTACTAGTTTTATTCCATCTTATTATTTTTACTTTTTATCCCAACATTTTATTATTATTTTATTACTAAATTTAATCCATCTTATTATTGTTGCTTTTTATCACAACATTCTATTATTATTTTATTTCTAGTCTTATTCCATCTTATTATTGTTACTTTTAATCCCAACATTCT